TTATTATTATTATTATTATTATTATTATTATTATTATTATTATTATTATTATTATTATTATTATTATTATTATTCTTCACTATAACATATTCCTCTTTTCTTAATATCTGGTGATTTTTGCAGTCTTATTTCTTTTATCTTTAAAACTTAACTCTCCGAACATTATCATTTTAATTAATTTGCACATAATTAATAACATACTAATTCTACACTAGTAAGAAAAAATGCGTCTACAACCTCCATGAATAATATATTGTATAGCCATTCTTTTAGTAATAAGAATTTTTGAAGGCAGAAAAATAATTGTTTTACTAAAAAAAAAAAAATGGACTGAATTAAATGACTCATTTGATTGAAATTAAAATTTTATTTGCATTTCCACGTCAAATGGCTAATTTTCAGAGAAGTTTATGTTGTCGCGCTTTCTTTGCAAATTCTGGAATTTACCCTAAAAAAATAACCTTGAGGACTTCTCTGCGACCAAACTCTTTAAATTCTCGTAGCTATACAACTAAAAAGTACACTTCATTCATAATAGCAAACATTTACTTTTCAAAAATAATACTATCTTTTCCTTGTTTATTTATTCTAGAGGCTTAAAAGGAATTACCTCACTTTTGGCCAAAGAGATTAAAGAACTAGAAGAAAAAATAGATGCATATGATAAACAGAAATCATCGCAGGTATTTTACTCTTCTATCTTAATATCTAACAAGTCAGATTAATAAAATGAAACCTTTGAATTTCAGATACTCTAATTAATTGACTTTTTGATTAATTTATTGTTTTTTCTATTATGCTTTTTATGTAAAGTTAGACGCATTATGTTCCTTTTTCTGACATTGATTACACTCAAATTTATGAAGCAATTTCCGCTCCTGATTTCTTGATCCAAAGCAAAAACAAACTTATTTCCTCGGAAGAAAAATCAGGAACTGCAAATTCAAAATTGGGAATGCCATTTTTAGATACGCGTATAAAAGATAAGCAATCATCGGATGCTCATCTATCAATTGAAGATGTCAAGTCCTTGTTAAATGAAATCAAATCCGATGATTCAGTCGATTCTCTTCAAAATAGATTGACTCTAAGTATTTATGAGTTTAATCGTTTGCTTAGAAGTTGTGTAAGCGTAGTTTTTTTCTTTACTTACTAAGAAAGGCTTGTCCGAGTTTTATAAATCACGTCTTTATACAATATAGTTAAAATCAAAAAACGTACAAGATGCGGAAAATACATTGTACTTGATGGAGGTAGAAAGTTTCTATTTTGCTTTTTCATAGCATATATATATCACATTTTTTAATACTGATGTTTTTTATTAATAGAAAGCTAAGATCGTACCTGATATTATTACATACGATACTCTAATTAATTTGTATGCGAATGTTCGAAATATAGAGAAAGCAAGATCAACATTTAATCTAATTGAATCAAGTGAGGTTTATTATATAGAAAATAAAATTATATGTAGCTTAATTATATGCATCAGATTATTCATATTCGCTTAAATCTTATTTTCATAGTTGGATTAAAACCATCAATACATTCTTATCAAAACTTAATAAAAGCTTATTGTAACGAGCACCGCCTCAATGAAGCTTTTGAAGTTTACGAAAAAATAAAGAGTGCTGGATTGATTCCCTCACAGGTTATTTATACTTACGTTTCTATGTTTAAATTCTTTTTAAAAATCTTTTTTAAAAAGAGTATTAATCTCTAGTACTTTCTGGTTTACAGGCTGTTTTCACGGCCCTTATCAAAGGTTGTGTTGATAAGGGAGATATGGCACTCGCTTGGAAGACGTTTGATTATATGAGACTGGAAGTTTGTCAGCCTGATGAAGTGACATACAGTCTAATGATCCACGCTTGTGCAAAGGTAAACTATTATGTATCCGAAATAATAATGTTTTTGAATAATAACACATTAATAATGCCCTCTGTTATTTTTTCCTAAAGACTCAAGAAGTAGAGCGAGCTTTTGATTTAGTTCAAGAAATGACCGAAAAAAAGTTACATCCAACGGATGTGACATATAATTCATTGCTTAATGCTTGCGCATTACGGAAAGATATCCTTAATGCTATTTTGTACTTCTTGTTTCTTATTCCAAATAATTTTTCTTATTGTTCCTTAATATTAGTAATATATTTTCATTTTAATACATTATTTTAACGAGGCGTTTAGTTTACTAGAGCAAATGCAAGAGCACGGATTTCAACCTGACAGAATTACTTATAACACTTTAATATATGCATGTTCAAAGACTGTCGATTTAACAGCTGCTAGAAAATTAGCAAAGATAATGATTGAAAGGTATGTTGATTGCAAAATTTTCTGGTAATGATATTTTTAATTTATGAGTTATTTTTTATTATTCCGTAGCGCGAAAGACAAACCTCTGTTAGCTCCCACGGTTGTTACTTTTGTGAACTTGTTTTGGGTGTATGCTAGTTATCAACCAGAAGGACCAATAAGAAAGCACTTTGAATCAGACACAACAAAAACATCAATAATAAATGACAATAATGAAATAGCATCGACTGTTAAAATTGATAACAAAATGATATCTCAAGAAGACACTTTTCCATTTCTACCCTATGAACCTTACACACAATCACAAGCTCTTATGGAGGCTGAAATGTTATTCAAATACGCTGTAATGAAGGCTCAAGAAGTCGCTCAACAACAAAATAACACTAATAACAATTCCTTTATGGATAATGACGATATAATTAGGATATCTCCTATTCTGCTGGATGCATATCTTAAAGTTATCGTGAAAAAAGGAGGATTTGATAAAGCAATGGCAATTTTCACTGAAAAATATGCGGAATTCAATCAGGAATATACCGGATGGACATTTATTACTATGCTGAGAACATGTTACGATCATTCAAAGTATAACGAAGTTTTTATCGTTTGGAAAGATTGGCAAAGTTGGTGGAAAAGAATTGGCGCAAAATGTGAAGATATGGGAATTTACAAAATGGAAATAGAATTCAAAAAGTTAGGACGAACACCCGAAGTTCGATATCAAGCTTATCGATGGATGATTAATACATTAGCAAGGTAATTAATTATTTTTCTATTTCGATTCCCTTTACACTTGATTATGTAGGTTAACTATTTTATCATGTAAATTTCAGATGCAATGATGTAGAGAGCGCGATGCAATTACTGGAAAAACTTGTATTAAAAGGATATAAACCAAATAAAAAAGACCTCTGGACTTTACATAATAGAGTCATTCAGTTCGAAAATTCCGCAGCACGCATACAGTTTTTGAATTATTGCCGTGATCAACGGACGATGGCTGACGAGGTTAACGACGCTTTGGTCAGAAAATGGAAAGGGACAGTACCTTTCAGAACAAACACCCCGTTTTACAATAATAGAAAAGGAAATGAAAAGACACGATATATCCGATAATAAGATAATTAAATAAATTGAAATTTATTCTGAAATAAGATTAGAGCATACTGCAAAAAAGTGAATATAACGCTACAAGTGAATTGCAGGGATCAAATGATTAAACATCAGTTTTTTGAATTCGACTATTCGGTGTTCCCATGTAAAATAGAAACTTATTCACATCTGATACATATTGTTATTGTGATATGGTTTTATACTTTTCAAGTATATAATGTGTAAGATATGTGATATCAAGTCGGGTGGAAGAGGTAATATAATTAATTGAAGTTATAAGTGGAGAGTTGGTACTGTTTTTAAAGATAGATAATGTATGTTCATGTTGTAAGTAGTTAGAATGAGCTCAGAAATCTTTTTAACAAAAAATATTTATAAATAAGTAAAAACTATTTACTATTTAATAATCAAATTATAAAATTGAAATAATTTTTAAAATAATTATTGAAATCATTATTGAAATAATTATTAAAATGATTATTAGGATAATTATTAGTACAAAAAGTAATAATGAATGTTTTTTGCTTATATTTTAATTAGAAATTAGAAAATATTGTGAAAATTTGTAAATAAATGCTTTAGAATATTAGAAATAAGATTTATTAATATCATAAAGCATATTAATATAATAATATTTTGTGTTAAATATGATGAATTATAATTTTAACAATCAAAATAGAATAAAAAATTATTTAGAAATATTTTTAATAATAAATTTTGAAAATAATTTTATGAAAATATATTTTGTAATATAAAAAATATATTTATAATTTAAAAAAAATTTTTTTAGTTTATTTTTATTTAATACATATTATTTAAAAAAGATTTTATTTTGATGAATTTTCAATAAAATATAGTAAAATCTCATTTTTACTATATTTTATTATGTTTTATTAAAAAATTTATTAAAATAAAACTTTTTTAAATAATATTTATTAAATAAAATGAATTAAAAATTTTTTAAATTATAAATATATTCTTTATATTACAAAATATATTTTCTTATTAAAAATATTTTTAAATAATTTTTTATTCCATCTTAATTGTTAAAAATTATAATTTGTTATATTTGATATAAAATTTTACAAACTATTATTATGCTAATGTACTTTATAATATTAATTAATTTTGTTTCTAATATTCTAAAGTATTTATTCACAAATTTTTATGATGTTTAAAAATTTTCTAATTAAGATATAAGCAAAAAATATATCTATTATTACTTTTTATACTGATTATAACTAATTAATTATTAATAAAATATAATTATTTAATAAGAATATATAAAAATAATAAATATCAATTTATAATAGAATTTTGATTATTAAAAATCTTATTCTATAAATTATAAAATAAAATAATAAAACAAATGAAAAGAAATAATATTTATATTAATATTTTTTGAATATAATACAAGTTAATTAAAAGTTTAATAATTTTGTCTTTAACTTATTATTATTATAATAACTTATTTTTTAATTATATTAGATTTGAAATATTTGTTAATTTTCTTATAATTTAAAGTTTCAGAAAAATTTGAAAATAGTTATAAATTTTTAATATTGTTAAAGCTTTTATAGTATTATTATTTTATATAGTTTTTAGTTTTATTACAAAAAAATATATAAATAATATATAAGACTAAATTAATTATATATTTATAAAATAATTTCAAGTAAAAAAAATACAATATTCAAAAATAGATAATATAAATTTATTTGTTAAATATTCAAAAATGATTATATTTTTTTATATTTAATTTATAAATAAATAAAATATTAATTATTTATTTATTAATAAATTGAATTTATTCATATTATTAATATATTATACTATATTATAATATATTTTTATAGTAATTATCTATTAATTTAATATATTAATTATACTTTTTAATATTTTTTTAAATATATATACATAATTATTTATTAAAAGTTTGTATAATTAAATATTTTTTATAATTTTATAAAATTTTTTTTAAAAAATAAATTTTTTATTAGTAATTTTATAATTAAAATATTTTTTATATTATTATTATTTTATCTTTTCATCAGGAAATTTCTATACTCATTGGCAATCAATTTATAATTATACTCATTGGTAATCAATTATCAACATCTCTATTATTCACCATTGATAGGGATTATAATCAATTGTTAGCGATTAAAATCAATTATAATCACTAACAATCAATTGTGTTCAAAAATCATTGAAGAACATCATTAGCAATTGATTGCAACCACTAGTGATAGAAAATGATGATGTGCTGATAATCGATTACCAATGGAAATTGTCAGCAATTGATTGCCAACGAGTTCCGTTCACAATCGATTGCAATCACAATCAATGCCAATCGGTGAGAGTGTTATAAATCGATTACTAATATATAAAATAGCTAATTGCTTACAATCGATTACAATCATGATCGTTACTAATCAGTGAGTTGTTGATGCTCGATTGCCAATGTACATGGTTGGCAATCAATTTTCAATGAAAATAGTTTGCAATTATTTGTAATCATGATCAATATTAATCAGTTGGAATATTGATAATTACCCTGTAAAAAAAAATAAAAAACAAAAATCAGGAAAAAATCCAGTTTTTTAGTTCCAGAAAATCATGGGTTTTGTTAACAAATTTCCGGATTAAAATC